ACACTCTGTGTGTGTGTGTGTGCGTATGTGTGCATTGTTGTGCAGGCTGCTCACAAATGAAGCAGCTCTGGGAGATCTGGCCACTGATCCACTCTGCCCACTATCCAAATTTAAGAATGCATCTCCAGCTAAACAATAGGACACCAAATCAAGCCTCAAACTACTCACGGAAAAAAAATCAGTGCCCGTGTATGCAGATCTGGTTTTACTCTTCTAAAGTACGTGTGTGCCAAGTCACAAAAGAGGGATTGTAGACACCATCAATGGCCGCTTTCTTTGAGCTGTGCTTCCTTTACCAGCAGGGAGCCTGTGCTGTGGAAAGCAGCTACCCCCGGGGCTGTGTTTAGGGCTTTAGCTACACAGTCAGCTGGTTGGGTTGATTTCTTTTGAAACCTGCTGACCACCCCAGGCACACTGCCTCTCTGCTGTGACCAGCGGGGGCGGGGGCTGCAGGAGCCAGCCCAGCGTGAAGGGCGTCACGCCCTTGTTACAACCCCGGACCTGGGACAGCCGCTTTTCAAAGCAGGATGTGTATTAAAACCCCAAACCGCTGCCCTGGCACGAGCCCTGTTGCTCCTCAGTCCTTTCAGAGCATGCACGGCTGGGCTGCGGCCCCTTTGCACCCTCAGCAGCCCCTCGAGGGAGTGGGCACAGGTAAATCGAGTCATGCCCTTCTCCGAGTGCGACACGACATCCCTTGAGATCTCTTCCTTCTGTCTTCAGGGCAGCAGCCTGATGCCAGCCGGCTCGCCCTGCCCCTCGCTGGCGGGGGACGAAGGGTGCTAGGGCACTGGGGAGAAGACAGGAGTCTAGTTCTAGGAAGTCTGTGTTCAGTAATCCCTCCATTTCCTTGCTGGGCTGCCTGCTGGGTTCCTGCTCCTAGCCTCCGAAAGCTTCCCGGGCCCTGAAGCAGGAGGGGGAGGGGAGGCTACAGGAAGGAGCCAGGCAGGGAAGCTACTTGAGGAGGCCTGCTCTCTGGAAACACAGACTGGGGGGCTGGGGGCAGGCCGAGCCGGCTGCGCGGGGACCCAGCATTTGTGTTCTTGTGTCCCCTGAGAATATTTTCCGCGTTAGCCACCAGCTTGTGCAGTAGGTTGTGGGGCTGCTCTTGGTTCTCCCGGTTCCCCCACTGTCTCCCTAGCTAGCAGTGGGCGGCAGCTGAGAGACTCCCTGTGCCTGTCCCGGGCACGGTGGGGCTGTCGAGGGGCAGGGGGCGGCACTGGCCGGGCGGCAGGCTCTGACTGGGCAGCGGTGGCCGATGTGCTGAGCGGCGTGGGA